AATGCTGTACTAGCCTTGCATACCTGGAATAAATCCCACTTGGTCATTGTGTGTAATTATTTTATGCATTGTTGATATGCTAGCATTTTGTAGGATTTTTGCATTTATGGTCATGATATGGATCTGCAGTTTTCTTTTCTTGCTATCTCTTTGGTTTTGTTGGCCTCACAGAATGAGTCAGGAAGTAGTCTCTCTCCTTCTATCTCCTGGAAGGGACTGTAAAGAATTAATATGAATTCTTCCTTACATGTTGGCAAAGTTCATCAATGAACCCACCTAGGCCTGGTGCTTTCTGTTTGGGGAAGTTATTGAGTCAACTTATTTTTTTTTAAAGATTTTATTTATTTATTTTTAGAGAGGGAAGGGAGGGAGAAAGAGAGTGAGAAACATCAATGTGCGGTTGCTGGGGGCCGTGGCCTGCAACCCAGGCATGTGCCCTGACTGGGAATCGAACCTGCGATGCTTTGGTTCACAGCCTGCACTCAATCCACTGAGTTAAGCCAGCCAGGGCGAGTCAACTTATTAATAGGCCTATTCAGATTGTCTATTTCTTTTTATGTGAGTCTTGGCAGATTGTATACTTCAGGGAATCAAATTATTTCATCTAGGTTATCAAATTTGTGGGTATAGAGTTTTTCATAATCTTTTATCATTTTAATGTTTATGGGTTCTACTTGTCCTTTGGCAAGGTGATTTTTTCCCCTTTGGCTTCTTTCAGGATTTTTTATCTTTGATTTTCTTAAGTTTGAATGCAATGTGCCTAGGTGTGGTTTTTGTTTGCTTTTGTTTTGACATTTATTCTGCTTGGTGTACTCTGAGCTTCCTGGATCTGTGGCTTGGTGACTTCCATTAACTTAGGGGAAATTCCCAGTCATTATTGCTCCAAATAGTTCTGGTGGATTCTGTCTTGCTTCTCTGCCTGTCTTCCCATCACACATATGTGTCATCTTTTGTAGTTGTCCACAGTCCTTGGACATTCTGTGCAGGGTTTGCTTATGGTTTGTTTGCTTGTTTGTTTGTTTGTTGTCTCAGTTCTCTTTGCTTTTCCATTCTGGAAGTTCCTCTTGACATGTCTTCTGGCTCACTGATTGTTTTCTCCACTGTGTCCAGCCTACTGAATGAGCCCACCAAAAGCACTCTTCATTTCTTACAATGTTTTGATCTCTAGCACTTATTTCTGATTCTTAAGAATTTCCATCTGTGTTTACATGGCCCATGTGTGTTTGCATGCTGTCTACTTTACCCATTAGAGTCCTTACCATGTTAGTCACAATTGTTTTAAGTTCTAGTCAGACAATTCCAACATCCCTGCATGTCTGGTTCTGATGCTTGCTGTCTCTTCAAACTGTATTTTTTGTCATTTGGTATGCTTGTAATTTTTTCTTGATAGCCAGATATGTGTTGCATAAAAGGAACTTGAGTGATGTGTCCGTGAGCTGTGGGAATGGGGAAGCATTTTATAATTCAACAAGTAGGTCTCAGGATTGGTGGGCCTGTATCCTCGCTGTGACCTCCACACGTGCTCCTCAGCCCCCTTGGTTGGGACCAGGAAGACAAAGGGGCCGAGGTGGGCATTTCCCTCCCCTGGTGGGTCAGGCTCCGGGGCAAGGACTTCTCCTGAGGGCAGGTCTTGTGGAAGAACTGATGTTCTGGGATTCACAATGGCTACTTCCCCCAGCACCCCACCTGAATCAGGAGGGGATTTTTCTCCCACCTTCAGTGGGAGGACGTGGTATGGCTCCCAGAGGCTAAGTTCACAGAAGTGTGGGCCCCTGGGGTGTTGAACTCTGTCTTGTCCACACTGAGCCTCCAGCATTTGTCAGTTATAGCTCAGGTTTTCCTGCCCAGCACTGGTTCTCCACCCAGGGCTTTCTGGTCGTGTGTTTCTGCTCTGGCAAGTTGTGATTCTCTGGGTTCACCTGTCTCCCCAGTTTGGGGGTTTGCCCTATGACCTCATTTCTCTGAAGGACCAAAGAGGAGTTGTTGAATTTCAGTTTGTTCAGGTTTGGATGCTTGTGAGGATGGAATGCCCGTTTCCAGCTCCTCACATGCCAGAGCAAAACAGGAACTGGGGTACCTCTCTCATGTCCATGTAATTTCTCTCTGAAGTGACTCATCCACCCCTTCCCTGTGGCGGCAGCTCATTTGCCTTCTGGTCCCACAGCCTGAGGTGGAGAGCAGGCTGCCCTGGGAGGGGCTATCCCATAACCTCACTGGAGTTAGAGACTAGCACTATGATCAAATGAGGTTTTCGGACAAAGATCTGCTGTGCAATGATTGAGACTTTTGAGATGTTGGGATGGAGCAAATATATTTTATATGTGGAATGGATGTGAATTTGACAGGAATAGAGGGCAGGCTATCATTGGTGGAAGTGTTGCCCGGAAATATATGTCTGAGTTCTAATTCTAGGAACCTGTAATTGTGAACTTACTTGGAAAAGGTATATCTGCAGATGCACTAAGGTTAAGGTTCTTGAGATGAACAGGTCATGAAGAATTATATGGAGCTAAGGAGGAATCTGAAGTCAGTAGACAGTGAGGGGTGGGGGATGAGACCCCACTCATGGCAATGTCCTGGTGTTGGGCAGTATGACAAGGCAGAGCTGAGCAGGCTGTGGGCGTTCAGTCACCTCGGGCCAGTCTGGGATGCCAGGAAGGCAGACGTCTGTCTCACAGGATAAGACATGACAACTTCCCTCGTACCTGGCACACTCCAGCAATGTGAGTGATGGGGCTGCTGGTTCAGGTACTTCTCGGACTTTGGTCTGTGCTGGAGAGATCAGGACACCTATGCCTCATAGGACAAGAACCCTGGGAAGTAAGGCATTTTGTGCTCAGCAGGAAGCTCCCGCCCTAGGTAGGAGCCAGTGTGCTCTGAGAGGGCCCATGAACGGGCGGGTCTGCACCTGTGCACTCGGGTTCTGTCATGTGCACCCTGAGTAGCACTGGCCTGTCCTGGCACACCTCATGATGTGGGACCCTTTCTCTTCTGGCCACACTGTCTCCCCTGCAGGCTTGCTTTCCTGAACAGTCAGGACCTAGTGTGTAGATGGAGGACCGCTGCTGCCAGAGACTCAGGTGTGGACCCTGGGCGTGTCCATCCCCTCAACTGGAAGAGGCATGAACAGAGAGTCTCTGCAGGGGCACTCTGTGCATGGAAACAGACATGAGCATCTGATTTTCAGAGGCAGCACTTGCTGGGCATTGGAAATGAGCCCTGCACTTGTCCTCTGACCTGCTCACATCATCCTCTTTCCTACTCTTCCCTCCCCAGCGGGGGTCTCAGTGCCCTTGTCCCACATGCAGAACTGAACTTCCTCCAGAGCATCACTTCCATGGGAAGGTACAGCCCAAGGCTCAAGCTGGGATCTCATGGAACTGTGCTTTCTTTGCTTGTCCTCACCCCATGGTGTGGAAGCCCAGCCACTGGCTGCTTCCCTTCCCCCAGGATGACTGCCTTGGGCAGTGGGGCAGCCAGAGAGTTCAGAGGAAGGGACTCCAGGGCAACAGTCCAGAGCCATCTGTGCACACGCTGGCCACTTGGGTTTCTGCAGGCACACGACAGACACTGGCCCTTCACTCATCTAGGAAGTGTGCCCCTGCCCTACTGCTCCAGCCTGCTTGAACAGAAAGGATTGTTGGGGGGGAAATGAGTAGCTCGTCCCTCAACTCAAATTCCTCCATCCCCAGGATGAGAGGAAGAGGCAGAGGTCAGGATGAGATGGTGAGTAAAATCCAAAGAGCCCTGAGGAGTGGGTGCTGCTTCAGACCCATGACAAAACAAGCTGGAGGGTTCTGTGGCTCAGGTACCCTAGGACAGCAGCCGTGTGTCATGGGATGGTGGTCACAGCTTCAGGATGCGTGTCTACCTCTGTGGGACCCTGGATGTGCAGTCAGGACAAGAGCACAGTTTGGACCAGTCCTGCTCCCAGCTCCCTGCCCTGCAGCCAGGCTCCTTATCCAGGTCCAGTGGCCTTCACTATGGCTACTTCATGTGGTCCATGCGGCTCTCCAGCATGAGCAGCTCTTGGTGTCTGTGAATGGTCGCCTGCCCTCTCTGCCTCTCTGAGGACTTGGAGGAAGGGCAGAGCCTAACGGCCTTCTGGAAAGCAGGAACGCCCCCGCCCTCAGACAGGCTGTAGGACTAGCCCTGTGGCTTCTCACTTTCAAAGTGAACCAGAGAAAGTGCCTCCCCAGCAAGCCCACTGCTGTGCCAGGTTCCAGCCAGTGCCAAAGCTGGATGTGCATGTAGAGATCGGTTGCAAATGTGAAAACTGATGACAATTTGTGTGTCTTTCAAGTTTTACCCAAACCCACAGCTAACAAACAGGCAGCAGTAGGTGGAGGGGTTCCTCCCAGGGAGGCCAATGGGCCTCAGAGGCACCCCCCCACTCTGTCATGTGGTCTCACAAGGTTCCTGCCTCAGCAGGACAGCTATCTCCAGGCAGGCACTTCATCAGACCCCAAACCAAACCAAAGCCCCACCCCGACAGACTGCATACAGTTGGCTGTTTTGTGGTGTTTGAAAATGTCTCAAGGGCTGATGGATTTTTGTTTTTTCCTCTCTCCTAAAATTTCTGTATGCTGACTTGGGGCATCCAGAGAAAATCACTGTGAAAACTGGCATGGGCTGTCTGGTTGTTCTCTGCTCCCCACCACACCCCTCTTCCCAGCCCCACTGTTAAAGGGCCCCAGAGAGAGGAGTGCAGCCAGGGAAAGAGGCCCCCGGCTGTGGCCCTGGGCTGGCTTTGGCACTGGCAGCAGAGTCATGTGGAGGGCTCAGGCCATTCCAGTTTGGGGCCAAGGGCACTGAGTCACCCTCCAGGACAGACAGTGCTGAACAAGTGCAGCTGCAGCCTGGGGAGGTCACAGCCCCAGGCAGGTAAGCAAACGGCAACCACAGCACAGCACAGCCGCCTGCACACTGAGGGCCCATTTGAATTTTCACTGGTTGAAAGAAGAATATCAAAACAAGAATCACATTTGTGACACATAAAATTCTAGTTTCACCGGCAGTTTTATTGGAACACAGCACACCCACTGCCCCCAAGTCCATGCTGCCTTCCTGCAGACAGCAAATCTGAGGTGTTGTGACAGACCCCATACAATTTCAGAGGATGAAGTGGTTACCACCTGTACTCTCAGAGGAGGCCTGCCAAACCCTGCCCTAACCAAACAAGAGTCAGCCCTTTCTGATGAAACACTGGAGCTGTTTCGGTTCGGTTTGGCTCAGTGTGAGTCTCACAACTGCGTTAGAGGCAGGACTTGCACTATGTTCACCTCCACGTGATGCATAACTGAGCTCAGAGCACTGTCTTAAGAACTGCAAACACCATGCAGGGCAGCAACAAACTGATGCCATTACTGATAGAATTGGCAGACAGGCTCTGGGGCAGGAATATGGGTGGGGAGAGTGTCCGCCCCCCACCCCCGGGGCCAACGTCAGTGTCAGAGCATGAGCTCCAACGCAGCAGAGGGGAGCAGGACCAAAGACACAGTGTGCTTCTGCCAACAGCTCACTGCAGCCTCCATCAGACTCCAGAGGGTCTGCTGGCTTGGTGTGACTCACCTGCGGGGAGCCACCAGGGCATGTCCATTGGGATGTGAGAGATCCCAGCTTGCCTGCTAAACTCCTTCCTCTAGTCCAGCAGGAGCATCATAAGGTCCCCTCCTCTCATGTCCTTCCCCACGGCCCAAAATGAAGCCAGTGAGCCAGGTGAGGGGCAGGGAGAGAGGAAGATGGAGACTTGGCAGTGGGAGCACCACAAGGTGCTCCTATCACGTGGGGTGTGGGAGTCAAGGCATTGGAATTTATGCCCCTAGGTGAAACGGGGGGGGGCGGTACCTAGAAAGGTGGAGCTGATGCACTGGGGTGGGAAGCAGTGGGAGGGAGTGGTAAGTGCCTGGATGTAGAACAGGGCTGTAGTAGTGAGTTCTTGGTGCCATAGGAAACGGGTAAATTTCTGTGCTTTGACTCCAATCATCAATTCAGTTTGGCAGAAGGAGCCTTGGGAGGAGGCCCAGCCCTGTAATACTGACCTTGGATTCCTGGCCTCCTGACCTGTGGGGTGGATGTGCCTGTTGTCCTACATTCTATGCAGGGCTTCATCAGGGCGGCAGAAACCCAGCACTGCACAGTATGGGCACCCTGAGCCCACTCAGAATCAGAATGCAGCAGACAGAGGGCCAAGGTGAAACAGCCTCTGAGCCTGGAGGGCTGCTTATTCTCAGTTTCCAAAGACAGACCACAGTCTCTACTGATTTAATTACAGGTAGGAGTAAAAAGGGAGGGGAATAATTCTCTAAGGGGAAAGTATTTGGGTCCCACACACACCTTCATGCCCAGAGGGGCTGGGGTTTACACATCCCCAGGTGACTGACAGGGAAGGAGTGAGGCCTAGAGCTCACAGGACAGAAAGGGTGAGGCCCTGCTTCCAGAGGCGTGTCCCATGCAAGCTATGGGTGCTGGGTGGTGCCCCTTTTTAGGACACATGGGTGTCACACAGCCTGGGCAGGCTGATGGCACTCCTGAGCAGCACTCTCTGGGTGGGCAGGTTTGTTTTCCTCTCTCTGCTCAGGGTTCTCCAGGGCTGTACGTGGAGAACCCAGTCTTTGGCTCCTGCCTGCCTACCCAGCAGAAACATGTGGAGATCACAACACTCCCACTGATTCAGGCTGAGGGACTGGAGCCCGTGTGTGGGTATGTGTGCTCTGAGTGTCTGGGTGAGCCCAACTTGAGTGCACTTTCTGCACATGCACATGTGTACACATGTGTGAGTCTCTGGGTAAACCCAGCACGTGTGTGTCTTTTCTGGATTTCTGTGTGAACCTAGTGGGCACTGCAGGGCCTGTGGGTGCCTCCCAGCAGCTGCAGACACTCCCCAAGTTCTGAGGAGGCTCTCTGTGTCCATCCTCCGAGCTGTTTCAAAGCAGCCTGGGAGATGCCCACTTCTCTATGTTCCTCTCTTCCCTCTGAGGGGCCTCTCACAGACTCCAAACTGAGCAAAAAGCAGCATCAATGAGTATCTTCAAAAAACATTCTCATAGTAGCACTTTTCTTTTGTTTCTGGATAGAAATGTGGCAGTGAAAGCAAAAATCAACACTTTTTTAAACAGGTACAGTATGTACTATTTTCACATTTGGCTAAAAACTGGGGAATGAAATAGTATTTTAGGTGTTTCTATGATGACCTCAAGGTATACTGGTCTCTTAGATTCAGTTAGAAACTGGCCTGTCCACCAGAGAGATGGACAAGTGAGGGGGTTGCTGAGCGACCATGGAGTGGGCAGGTGCAGGCTGCATGGAGGTGGAGGAGGGACTTGGGATGCAGGATGCGCCTACAGCACTTAGACTACAGCACTTAGGGTTAAGAGTGAGCAGACTTCATTCACAGAGATTTAAACCTTCCCTTTACGCCTAACAATAGCAGAGAAAGGATGACAGTGCAGCTACTGGAGATGCTGGGGACCTCAGGTGTGGCCATGCAAAGCAGTCCCCGAGTGCTGGGCATAACCCACCCTGACTGCGGAGTCGTGTGGCCATGCAGGACCCACCGGGGCTCAGCTGAGTTTGAGTTCGTGGGTGCTTCCAACTCCCCAGCAATTCGAGAGGGCCTGGGCAGAACACCGTGTGCTATGTCCACAGACAGAACTCCCCTCCTGCAGCTGCACCTTGGTGCCCTGCAGGGGACCCTGCATGGCTGCCCCTGGTCTGCACAGCCGCCCTGGGTCCTCCTGGCGTCTGCATCTGAAGGCAGCATGCAGAGGTTGAGGATGACATACCAAAAAAAGTGATTCTCATCAAAAGCTCTCACTTCTGCGCTTTTGTCTTTCTAGGTCAGTTTTCTCACTCGTCGAGTGTGCTTGTCAACTGTCAGGGTTGTCTGGTCCACAGCGGTGGCGATGCTGTCCAAGGCCTCATCCTGTCTCTCCAGCTCCGCCTTGGCCTCCAAGGCGAGACCCTTCAGCCTCCCCAGGATCTGGGAGGAGCACAAAGAAAGAGGGGCTGACTTAATGTAACCTCTCAAAGACAGACGATGTTTATTTCCATCATTTTCACAATACTTAAGGAATTTTGTGAGTCAGGGGGGATGATACACCCCCATGGTGGAGCCCAGAGCCAGAGCTTGGTTTGGATCTGGGCTCTGCCGCTGACTGAGAGCTGTTAGGAGATGACGCCTTTGCCCCTGGCCTTGCTCCAGGCCACGGGCAGCAGTCTGACCACGTGTCCCTGGGGTGCTGCTATTAGAACTCACGGTGTGCTGTGTCACTGACACCTCACCACATCCTTGAGGAATTCCCGCCACAGCAGCGGGCCCATGACTGGGACCCAGTAGTTTCCAGCTACTGCCCAATCATTGTGTTCATTACCTGTCTGCACCCAAGGGTCCAACCATGCACTCAATCTCAAAATGCAATATTTAAGCCCTCACCGGTGTGGCTCAGTTGGTTGGGCATTGTTCCACAAAGCCAAAGGTCGCCGGCTGGATTCCTGGTCAGGACATATGCCTGGGCAGTGGGTTCAGTTCCCAGTTGGGGTGTTTAAGAGGCAACCAATAGATGTTTCTTTCTCACATTGATGTTTCTCTCCCTCTCTTTCTGCCTCCCTTCCTTTCTCTTTAAAATAAAATCTAAAAAACCCCCACAGTAATTAAAAAAAAAAAGCAAAATCTCACTGTCGTATGCTTGAAACCATTTCACATACAAATACGAAAGGCAGAATAGAACATGGCACAAATAACCCAAATCACATAGCACAGACCCCCACCCCTCCTGCCCCCAGTCTGAGAAACTGAGACACAAGGAAACTGACCAGGAAGCACAGGGCCTGGGGCTCTGGGAGGCAGAGAAGGGACATGGGTGAGGACACATGGAGGGCAGAGAAATGCCACAAGCCACAGTGATACCACAGGGGAGGCCGTGGGCACCCGAGGGGTAGAGGCTACTCCAGCAGCAGAGTGGGGAAGCAGGTCAGGCTGGGCTGTGGCCCCTCCCTAACTTGTGACTCATGTCATCCTCACACAGTGTCTCATAAACCAGCAAGTACAGCTGTTTTATGACAAGTCTACTGAGACGAACTGCATTGTGAAATGTACTTTAACTACATTCTTACTGAGCCTGGGCTGAAAAATTTAATATCCTCAAGATGACAAAAGGAATGATTTTAAGAGAAACTGTAATGACCAACTACTTACTGTAAATGTTAATGCCTCTTTCAGGGAAACATTCAGATCCCTGGTTAGGTTGAGAAGCAGGAACACAGAATATGAGTCAGCACGAGCGGCCATTGTCCCAGGGGTCAACCTGCCTTGTCACACAGGGATGGACGTCCTCAGGGAACAGCCTGGATGACCACCCCAGAGGACCCCAAGTTCAATATATTGATAACACGTTGTGCCCCATAATGGTATTGGCCGCAGGTCCCACCAGGTGGTCCAGGACAATGCTGCCCCTGGGACACCAGAGTGGACAGCCCCACATGGTGTTGGGGACGGCACCCCATTAGGTCACATGGCAGCTCTGTGCTGAGAATCAGGAGAAATGCCTAACCACCTGACCACCACCAAATGCCCAGAGGGCTGCTTCCTCCAGTTTTATCGCGAAACAGGGTCAAGATAGGGTGACATTAGGGCTCCCACGGTCAGCTACCTCCCCAGGACTGAGGAGGCTGCAGTGAGGTCATAGGTGTGAATGAGCTGGGGAAACTGAGTGCTCCATGAGGCACTGGATGCCACCCCCCCAACCCCCCCCATGGAGGGAAAGAGATGGGCAGAGCAAGGCTGTCCCCAGGCAGCCAAACACAGGCTGGTGGCAGAAGCAGGACCCAGCCCACACCTCTCTCCAAATACAGCACTGTCATCGGACCTTCGACACCAGACATGAGTGAGTCATGACCCCAGTGCCCAGGCTCAGCCACCACCTCTCTGCACCCCTGGGAGCTGGTGGAAACTCCATCAGCCGAATCACAACGCATGAAAGAAACAGCGCTCACCACCATGCCAGGTCCTGCCACGTTGCTTTCTCTGATCAAATGCTCCCTCTGGACTTAGCCCATCTTTAGTGTGGCAGCAAGGTGCTCTACCAGGAATGTGCACAAAATGTCCCCTGGAAGACTGGCCTGTGCCACATGCCCACACCTGAGCAGACACCCCTGGGGCCTCTCTCCTGCATTGGGTGCTGGGGCTGCATAGACCCTGCCACTCTCTGCACCATCTAGGTCACTGTCAGTCATGTCCAAGTGGGGTCCAGTTCATTTCCAACTGCACTATCCTTCAGAAGCACCAGGGCCCCAGGCTCTAAACAGCCACCCCTGGACCAAGTGGAGGGCAGAGGCGGGCTCTCAGCAGGCAGCCACTATTTCCTTCCTCGCAGGTCAGGACAGAGCTCAGAGAAGAGCCCCCCAAATCCAAATCCAGACCAGGGCCATGGCTGGACACACACTGTCACAATCCCAGGGTGCCTTCCCCTGGCTCCTTCCACACTGACATCCACTCACACAGGAAAGTACACTGTGGTCCGAGTGTATACACACACATATGTCCTGTGTCCTCACCCCCTAGCCACCCTAGTCAGATAAGGCTGAGGTACGTGGCTTCTGCTAACCTTCAAACCCACTCTGCTGTCCACACCTGGCTGAGGCTGCTGGCTGACTCACCTGTTTCCTATGTTCCTGGGATGCAGCTCCCAGGGTGGCCCTGACATGACTGTCACAGAGATACCAGGGGTCACAGTGCAATGACAGAGGTCACATCACTATGACACAGAGAGAGATGGAAAACATCCCTTAAAAAATGGCCAAAGGCCCACCACTAGAGGGGCAGGACATTCCCACACCATGGGAGGCCAGGGTCAGGGCTGTGCTGGCTTGCTGAGCCCTGGGCGATGGTGGGAAGGGGTCTAGAGTGAGGAAAGCCACACTTGTAATGTTAAATTTCCTAATATACTTTAAAAACTAGAAAATGGTACGTGTGATTAATTTTAGTAATATTTAACCCAATCAACTCCAAATAGTATCATTTCAACATGAAATTAACAAACAATTATTAATGGGATATTTTATATCCTTTTTTCCTATGAAGTCTTAGCAAGCCGGTATGAATGCTATATCTGCCATATCTCAACTTGGACCAGCCAGCTGTCAAGTGCTCAGCAGCCACATGTGGCTGGTGGCTGCTATGCCACATAGCAGAGGACCATGCTGCCACATGACAGCCTGCCCACGTACTCCCAATTCCATGACAGTCCCCGTGTGCCCCTACATGTCCCTGGGCCAGCCACCTGCTTTACTGAGCTGAGTGGACCACCTCTGCCCCCGTCCACAATGAAACAGTGGCAAAAGCAAGAACAGCTGCACCCCCATGTCTGTGGTCACTCAGCACAGTCACAGTAGGCATGTCCTACTTGTTCTGTGAGCAAGAACAGCTGACTTGCAGATGCTGAGCATTTTACTGATGCAGTACAAACAAGGGCTGGCTCTCCTGGACTTTTTGACTTAGAAATGTCTCCCAGAGGATGGCCATAACTGTAGCCCTCATTCTGTGCAGCCTGTTGAGACCCTTGGCTGCTCTGTAAAAACTGTACTTGAAATTAATTCTGCAAAAACATAAAAAGGACTTTTACTAATTGCACAAAGACAATTCCTGAGTAAAACACCAAATTACTGGTACCTCACGATGTAGGTCCCACATCTTTTTCCTTTAAGACAGGGATTGAAGTAATTAAATGGCATTGTGTGCATTCTATATAACATGGATGGAAAGAAGGGTGAATAGGAAGACTGGCCAAACCTTAAAACAGTTTTTACTTCTGTGGCCCAGGATGACAAGCTGTCTAGTCATCCACATAGGACACTGCCAGCCTCTGAAATGTCAGCCGGACGGTCAGAGGGGCCCTCCTGGGGTTCTGAGTCAAAGACCAGGCTCAAAGTAGACTCTCCTCTGAGTCTGTGCAACACTAATACACCCAGAAGTTTTCCTTCCAGCCATATTCATGCCTATGTAGAATTACCTGGTTAAAAGTGTGAGTGTTATAAGGAAATAACTTTATAAATTCCAAAGAAATACACACTCAGAAATGCACTCAGCACAGGCAAGATGGGAAAGTACCTACTGGCTGCCCAGGCCTGGTGGGGAGGGGTTCTCCCACTCCTCCACTGCAGGGTCCCTTCCCCCAAAGGTGCCATGCTCAGCAGCCTCCAGGACTGGGGAGGGGAAGCCACACACGCAGGCAGGAAGTGAGAGGCACCTGAAGTGCCCGGGACGGAGCACCCGGGACTGTCCTCTCCTGAAGGTGAAGAACCTTGACCTCGTTGCACACCAGGGCACCTCCGTCCACCTAACACCACCAGTTCAGGACAGCAACACGAGCGTGGACATGGAGACATTTTTGTCTTCCAACTACCTCCCTCTTGTTTATAAAAACAGAAAGTAAGTTATGGAAAATGGCTCATCCAGTAGGGCAGGTCCACTTACCAAAACAGATGTTTAAACGTTTGTGCCTCCCCTGAGCCACTGCTCCGAGCTCTGCAGCGAGCTGAGCCCTCCAGGGAGTTCTAAGCAGCTGTCACTGCACCAAGGGAAGGACAGAGGACACAGACGTATGGGCCTGGTGTTTCCAAAATGTCTGTAATATTCCAGTTGTCTCAACTTACAGTCAGAAAAAAGAAAATATTTGTTTTACCTCATGAGAAAATCTCTAGGATTCAGAGCATTACTACAGTATTAAGCACTTAAAGTTAGTTTAGTATAAGCTAGATTGTCTGCCCTCATCGTGTTATTAAGCTGACTCACTGCAAAACTGAATTTTCTTACAGTGAGCAATTAGCAACCATTTAAGAACAGAGCTGGGATAAATCAAGCTGTCTGCAACTTCCAACTCCCAACAGTCCTGCCGGCTGGGGTCATTAATACACTACAGAGAAGGCAAAGGGGGAAAAACAGGCTTCCAGCACTGCCGAAGCTCTGGGGGCTGTGAAGAACAT